TCTGCTTGGCCCATTGTCATGGGCCCATCCCGGCGTTCTAGTACTTTGCACTTAATGCCATAGCGAGCCAGCCAGGTGGCTGCGCAGAGCCCCGCGGAGCCGCTGCCACAGATCAGGACGTCGACTTTTTGTGTCATGTTGTGTCTTCTTTGTTCTTTGTTTCTTCTTAAAATCTAGAAAGAAAAAGGAAAAAGAAATGGACACTTGAAGAAGATAAAGCCTCGCATAAATATGATGTACTGGAATGCGCCTGACTGGTCATACTTCAACTGCCTCCGGGATTGATTCCGAGCTACCCCGGAATCGATCCCGGGGTCGGCACCTGCGCGGCATTTGCGTCCGTGCCTCGGTCATCGTTTGTACCAATGATCTTCGGTGTATTCAGTGACCATCTTCTCCGCAATCCGGGGTCCCGAGATAGTGGTGGCAGTACATTATACCGGCGTTCAAGCTGGTGTCTCAGAGAGTCAGAGGATGTGACTTCTACGCTCATGCCTTGAGTGACGGCGGAGTATATGGTGCTAGTCCTGACTAGGAAAGGCACGCGAACGGTTGAGATGCCGAGACTTGCAGCTTTGAGATAGTCGCACGGTTTGATTGTGGAGGGTTCTAGTTCGGGTGCAAGACTTAGGTCATTAAATCAAATCTAGATTACCAATATATCTCTGGTCATATGTAGACGAAGTGAAACAATATGTTCTATCGGATTTTGGTCCGGGTTTTGATTGTCCCAAGGCTTCCATAGTAGCTCTGGAAGCAAGGAACAGCAGTTTGTTATTGATTGCCAGACCCAGTGGTGAGATTTTGGAATGGCCTCCAATGTACTCGTGTAGAGAATGCTGCCCTCGGCTACAATGGAAAGCTACTGTGTAACACCTCACATGGTGCTATCTACAACCTTCAACCACCAAAGCATGCAATGTTCATAACAATCATCTGATTCGTCATAGTTCGACTAAACAAACCCTCTGGACCAAGCTGTACCAGTATGCATAAAGGTAACCCTCATTAACTGTGTCCCAAATCGTAATATATGATGCTCGTAACCCGTCTTCACCCACAGTGCGTAGGCGCCATCTGTATCCACTCCCAACGCCAGCGCCGGTGCAGTAAACGCCTCATGTCTTGCGAAATGCAAGCAGACGAGAGAATAAAAAGCGTATCCATGCGATATCTTACAGGAAGTATTCACTGCGGCCCGGCCGCGACGTCGGCACATGTCGTTGATCGTCACTAACCGCGCTGAAGAGCTTGAACGTCGGTTTTAGATCGTCGTCGATCTCGCATACGGAGGCGAGGTTGCCGCATCGGTAGCAGTAGTTGGGAGCACTCCACACCGTGACCACGTTTTGGTTGGCGAAGTGGTACTTGTAACCCTCGTTGACCAATTGGTGGGCTCGGGCGATTAGGGTCAGGTCATTGACATGACAGAACTCATCTGCAACCTTGTCTCCAAACAACCAACCTAGAGGGTGATCAGTAAAGGGAAATCGCTCGTCTTGTAAACGAATGACTCACCAGCTCCTCTGGGACTCACTGCCCATGTCTCCACATCATCGGGGTCAGACCAGACCAGATCACAGAAAGCACCTTCGTGCGGAATCTCTTGGGCTCTCGCAACCACCCGCACTTGATCCAGTGTTCTAATCTCCGGGCTCAGTCCACCATGCACACAAAGCACCCTACCGTCGATGATGGCGCCCAGTGTCATGAAGTCAAAAACCTGGCAGCAAGCCTTCCATACGGAGGCATTTCCGTACTTTTGAAAGCACTCCTCGTAGAAACCGTAGACTTGAGTGATCTGGCGAGACTCGTGGTTACCACGTACCAGCGTAACCCGATCAGGATACCTAATATACCGTTAGAACAGTTCACCCCTACCAATGAGTATAACTCACTTCGCCTTGAGGCACAGCAGCAACGTGAGGGTCTCCAAACTGAAGTACCCTCTGTCCACGTAGTCACCGAGGAATACAAAGTTTCGATTCAATGTAACCTCATTCGAGCCTGCGCTGGACGACCGAGCGCGCTGGCTGCTATTCGAGCCTGTGTCATCTGCAAACTCATCCGAGTGTCCAGAGTTTCTCAATTTCTTGCGTAGCTTAGGATCGGTAATGGTGGAAGGGGGTTCGATGTCCTCCGAGGTAATTACGGAAGGCGACGTTTTAGGCGGCTCGACGTCCGATTCATCGGGCATGCCTCCAGAGACCCGGAATAGCTCTAACAAGTCGTAAAACTGGCCGTGAATATCTCCACAGATGGTCACGGGTGTTGAGACTGGCTGAATGTTCGATTCTGGATAATGCGACCCGTCAGTCTGGTGAGTCGGTCGCCACATGCTCGAACTAAAGCCCACCTTCCATCATAAACTCCTTGACGATCTCACAAAGCTGTTTCATATGGGACTCCGAGAGGTATTTGCAATCCTTTGCGGCCTCCAGCCACTCGTCGGGGCCGGCATTGCGCTTCAACTTGGCCGGTCCCGGCTGGGGGACCTTACTATCCACCATGATGAACTCGGTATGATATGGGTGAACACAGTGAGAACGGTGCAATAAAGGGGAGAATAAGAGTAGAGTAATGAATGAACTAGTCTTTCAAAGGATAGTCGCTCGCATACGCCAGAGCACACGGGTTGCTTAGCGGGATGCGCGCCGGCGGTCTTTCCCCGCAGGGGAGGTTGGCTTTGGGTCACTGAAGATGCACTGCCAATTCCCGCCATCGGTCACGTGGTGCGGGCGGATTCTCCTACACGATAGCAGCTTCACCAGTCGTTCAGGCACAGTGCACAAGTAATTGCGGCTGCGGAGTGACTATCTTTCTGCGTTCTTTCGCCTTATAGTATATCTGTCGTTTTAGCGCAACACCCTCATCCCGTTCCCTCAACGATACACCCATCCTCCAGTCGGGGCGGAAGTCCCAACACTTCAGCATTTCCATCATGACGCAGATCCCTGCGGGCAAGTCTACAGGAGGCGTTCTCCAGATCCCCGCCGCTGCGACTCAGAAGAATGCCTCTGCGACGCCAAAGAAGGCTCCAAAGCCAGCTGCGCCTCGATTGAAGCTCCTCGTCAGACGTCTACCACCCGGACTAACACAAGCGGAATTCGAGACAGCGTTGGGCTCGGAATGGAAGGTTGGCGGTGGGAAGGTCGACTGGTTCCAATACAAGCCAGGAAAGGTCTCTAAAGAGTAAGCTAGCATTGTAATCTGTGAAGACTTTCGCTAACAGTATGCTGTATAGTCCAGCCAAACCTTCTCGGCCTTCGCGTGCGTATATCCATGTCATGTCCAGCGATCACACCATCCCGCTCTCGAACAAAGTCCGCCAAACGTCCTTTTTGGACGCCCGTAATACCTCAACCGATCCTGTCCTTCTGGGACCTCCATCTTTGGAATTCGCACCTTATGCCAAGATTGCCGGAAACCGTTCGCGCAAAGACGCCCGTCAAGGAACTATCGACCAAGACCCCGAGTTCATCGCTTTTCTCGAGAGCCTCACTCAACCACTTACCAAACCGGCTCCTGTCGAGTCTGGCGCTGATGGGGAGGATAAGAAGGAGACGGTGACTGTTACGCCTTTGGTGCAGTACATCAGAGAGAAGAAAGCCAACAAGGCGAAGGAATCCAGCAAATCTAAACACAAGTCGGACAAGGACTCCAAGGGGGAGAAGATCCAGGCGAAGAAGTTGCTACAACGTCCTGACAGGGATACAAAGGACTCTGCTGCTACGGAGAAACCCGAGAAGAAATCCAAGTCCGACAAGGCTACCAAGGAAGCTGTGAAGGCCGCAAACAAGCAGGCCGCTAATGTTGCTGCCAAGCAAGCCGCGAAATCGTCTCCAGCGCAAAACTCACCCAAGGATACGCCACAGACATCTACAGAGCGGAAACGCGAACGTGGAAGTGTCGCGGCTGCTGCCAAGATCCTCCAGCGCGACCTGGGGCTTGCTCCGTCCGGTCGCCGCAGGGGTGGCAAAGCTGCAGCCGCCGATGGAGATACGCCCAAGTCTGATCAGAGCGGAACTGCAACCCCAGATACGAGCAAGAAGGAGACACCGTCCAGACCTTCCAAGGGGGCGAACTCGGCTCGGGACAAGTCCAAGGGCAGCAACACACAACCACCCAGTGAGCCATCCGAAGCAAGCACTCCAGTCAGTACTACACCTAAGCCGGGAAAGTCTGGGAAGGGGAAGCAAGCATCGGCAGGACCGGCAGCGACCGCTACCCAAGCATTCCTTAAGCACGCCAACCCATCTCAGGGCGTTACCGAGCCACTCCTGGAAGCCGCATTCGCGCCATTCGGAAAGGTTCTCAAAGTGGAGATTGATAAGAAGAAAGGATTTGGCTACATTGATTTCGCAGAACCCGACGGACTTCAAAAGGCCATTGCTGCTAGTCCTGTCTCGGTCGCGCAGAGTCAAGTTGTCGTGCTAGAGAGAAAGGCCAACCCCGGTGGAGAGAAGGGCCGCGGCAAAGGCCGCAGTGAAGCCCAAGCATCCTCGGGAGGCGGCGGCGGCGGCGGTGGTGGTGGTGGTGGTGGTGGTGGTGGTGGTGGTGGTGGTAACAACAGCCGGGGGAATAAGTCCAATGAAAGCGGCTCAGGGGGCAACTCATCTCGCGGACCACGCGGTGGACGAGGGTCCAAGGGCAAGGGAGCCCCCAAGGGAGGAGGAGGCGGAGGAGGAGGAAACAGTGGTGGAAATGCCGGGGCTGCGAATGGGAATCACCCCGAGAGCAAGGGGAGTTCAGATAGTAAATGAGCCGTTATGATGATACATGTATTGATGATAATACCAGTGCTGCCTCCATGATTAACCACCTATCCCAATTGATTCCAACTTTGATGGTACAGCTATTGATATCCCATAGAATAATAATCATTACCAAGACAAATCACGAATGGTGAACCAGCATACACAGAGAACAGATCCGGAATGTCAACTACGGACCTCAGATCAGCCCTCCGGGATAAAAGAAGATACGATGATTTAATGTCAATGCATAACTGAATACTCCACACATACTATACAACTGTTCTTTTTATACTTTGTTCAAGGTACACCTGCAGGGGCATCGGTGGGGCCGAGAAAACGGCGCCCCACTCTTGATGTTTGCTTTACATACTATGAACTATCTAGGATCGATTGCAGTCCTTCATCACAGAATACCAATCAATCAATTAAACATTACTACATAGTAGTATCAGAGCAACATCCCACCCACAAACGCCAACCATCTAGATAATTAGATCTCTATCACGGCACAACCCCCACCGTCCCCCTCTGAAACAACCTAAAATTCTCCATATTCTCTTCCTCCAACTCCCTCGCCTCATCCAAAATCCTTCCAACCCTCACCCTCTCATTCACCCCCTCGCCAGCCTCCTCATACCCCTCCAACACATCCGGTCTAAACCCACACTCCACCTCCACGACCGTCCCACCCTTCCCCAACTCCTTTCTCAAATACTCCGGCCACTCTATCCCAAAGAAACCATAAATCTTCAACCTCTCCAACTGCCTCAGCCTGGCCAACGCATGCACAAAGAGAATATTATCCCCGAGCCCTCTTGTCTCATCGCCGGGCTCCATGTGCGGAAGCCACCGAATGTGCGTGTCCCATCCAATTTCTAACTGTCTTAGACCCGTAGCGTGCTCGGATAAGTCATTGAGGAGGACGACCCACGACCAGATGTCGGAGCTGGAGCATTCCCATGGGACGAAGATGTGGAGAGAGCGCAGGAGGGAGGTGTTGAGGGGTCCGATATTTGTGATGTGGTGGAGGAGTTGGGCCGGGTGTGTTATCGAGAAGATGTTGTGGGTATAGAGGATGGGGAAGGCTTCGGCGTGGATTTGTTTACAGGTGGAGAGGATCGAGGGGTGGAGGTGGTAGTGTTGGTATGGCGTGTAGAGGTGGATTTTCTCGAGGGTGGAGAGTGGGGTCTTGTTTTTGTTGGCGATGTTGTCAGCGACGGAGAGGGAGAGAGAGAGAGTTCGGCCGCGGGGGGGTTGTTGGTGGTGGCTGATTAGGAGGTGATTGTAGATGAGGACGCGGAGCTCGGATGGGAGGGTGAGGAAGAGGTTTGGTTTTGGTGGTGGTGGTGTTGGTGTTGGAGTAATGGGTTCTTTTAGAGCTGGTGCTGGCTCGGAATGTTCTAGGAGTATAGATGAGTACAGCGTGGGAAGTGTTGTTTTGAAAGTCGGAAGTTTGCGCGATAAGGAGGGTGGTGGTGGTGGTGATGGGATAGGGTCGTGGAAATTGTAGAAGGGGACTTTGGTGACATCCTCTATTGTGATGGCCATGGCGGTGCTGGCCTACATTCTTGAGTCCGACTGTTGTCCATATGATAAATCCAGAAGTGTTGGGCCGGACATTATCGGAGGGATTGACCACTATCACATGATAGATAGTACACCGGTTTCCTGGAAGGGCTATATACTTTCGGAATATACCAAGTAAGCTCGGATGATCGTAACTTATCGTACTCTTACATCATATCATGCATCTCGCAGCAACCGCCTATCCAATGATGATGGCCAATGGCAAGGCACCTAGTACTTTATCTACGGTTGATACTCTCCACTCAAATCCTCGCATGTTCGGCAATGCGCTCTATCGCAAAAAATGGTCAGAGAAATATAGCATGACAAAAAGCAGAAAGGTGAATGATGATTTTCATGATATTTCGAATTTCCGATCGTATCAGCCTGTGTTTGTAGTATAACCCCAGTCCGGGGACCTAGTTTTCAACGCCATCAGCGGTACTGCATACTTCCTGGAGTACCCTCAAGATAGCATTCTCCCCTCGTGTATTCCAAGCGTTAACTGAAGGCTCGTAATTTAGGACTGTATTGATGAACTACTCCAGCACTGCTAACCATACCCACTCAGCTGACAAGTCAATTCTTGTTCCTTTATTCATCGCTTTGGGGGAATCCATGGCTTTTGCGTGAAAGGGGCAGTCATGCTGATATAGTATCTGCCACCATACTACCCGTTCTTAAACCCCCTTTGAAAAGGTCTCTGGCCAGGTGGGAGAAAAAGAAAGAGAGACGAGGCGGGCGGCGCGCGTGCAAAGATGGGGGGTTTATTCAACAGCATTAGCAGACATGTGGACATGATCGTAATGTCCAGTCTTGCTTCTTCTGTAGGGTGTGTGCACAAGGTCTGTGTCTGGCCAGGAAAAAAACAGAGTGCTAGGGGGCCTTTTATGCATGCAGGTCTGAAAGAGTCGTTAACCAACCGTTGAGTCGCAAACCCATCAAATAACCTAGATTTGTTGAGCCATCAGCTTTAACTTCCACCATTTGCATGTCACGCAGGACTTTTTCGATATAGTCGCCGGCCCCGCTGAGTTTCATAATATGTGCAATGGCGCAGTGGACACGGAGAAGTCTGGGGTCTGGTGGATCAATCGACTGGTTAGGACTAAGGCTCAGAGTACGAGTGACGGGGAAGAACGGGTCGCGCAGGAAGGTAATCTCTTCAAGCGAGTCGATCTCATATTCATGTGGCCTTCCTGTGGGCTCGAAATAAATTTGGAATCCACTAAACAGCCGATGATAATCATGCGTCAGTGTAAGAGCATTGATGGGTCTATCGATATTCAGGCCATCAAGACGGTGACTGAGCCCAGGGTTAAACATGTCCAGTATTCGAAACACCTTCCTTTTTGCCTCGCTCTTGGAGGGGTTAGTACGCAGCCAGTAGGTGATTATTGATAAACATACCAACTCTGACTCTCCCTGCGCCAATGTTGTCAAACTGTGAGGGAGGATGTGCGCAACTTCCAGGTACTGGAATTCGCCCTGTGAGCTACTGCTCAAGAAGTTTCCATTGTCATCTTTACAATTATCACCATCCTCGGCGTTGCGCTTCCTGGCTTCGGCAATATCAAATTTGCGGGATATCACGCACCGGTGGTGATCACGTACAAGACAATCTTTCCGTAAGACAGATACACGCTGTCTCGTGCCCAATGGTGTAGGTGCCTGACTCAAGGAAAATGCTGCTGGTGTTACTTGTGGGGTCTTACTTGATGAAGCCCTGACTAAGTGACCGCATTAGCAGATCAGCAGGTTCAAAGGACAAGGGACATTCATACGTGGAAGAAGGAAGTTGTCAACAATATTCTCAGCAAAACTTTCGAGAGCACCCTTTATAATCATCGATTTGCTTGGATCTATACTTTGATCTCCAGTGAAGGACTCAAAGTAAGATAGAGCAACAGTTATGTCAATTTCCCCAGTCTCTCCAGCAGCTTTGTGGCTCTCACACATATATGAAAAGAAGAATTCTAGAAAATTGTCTTTCGACGTTACACGTTCAAACATCTCCATTATTAGATTTGCGGGCCTGTAACCCCTATGTACGCGTTGACCGAGGCCATAATCCTGGATGAAGAGATGCAGAAGTGCATGGGCCTTTTGGTTTCGCTGTGGCGTCAACGAGAAGGCTGGAGAGGAATCCATAAAGTTTCTCGAGATGGTTGATGTCGGTGATAAGCCATGATGGTATGTTATGAGGGATTGACCACTCGTCATATAGAGTCGCTATCACGTGTGACGCGAGTCCGCTTGGAAATTGGGTTGATCCGTCTATGTCCGTTTCGGCTTTGCATTTCAGAGCGTTTACCCATGCTATTCTTAGTGGTTTGCAGATCTGTTACGGCTACGACGAGATTGTATATATAGTTTCAAGAAGAATTGGGTATCATTTGATATCTAAATGAAAAGGGAACAAGATTGAGCAACTCCAAATACTCTAGCACACCAACATTAAAGTGTAAAAGAGGGGACACCTTTCAGACCTCCTCGACACCCACCAAGTCCGACCGACCGAAGTCAAGACATCATGACAAGGTAAAGATCATCACCACTCCCTGGACCATCGCACCGACACCCGAAACAAGTCCATCCGAAGACAGATTGTAACAGAGCGTGCAAATGCAAGGTCGAGTCGGAAGTAAAACGGCTTCACTTTAGGGCATCGAGGACATAGCAGTCATCAGCAAGGGTGGAGATTCTGTGGCTCTTTAGAAGAGCTCAGAGGTGGGACGTCTACTCTAAAGTGATTCTTTGAACTGTAGGCAGAAAGTGGTTAGCTGATGATTCTCCAAAGTTCATCATTTGGGAAGGCTGAAAGGCTCTTCCCAAATGTAGGGGGGAGGGGAGACTAACGTAGAGTCGCTTAATTTGCTAAATGGTTGGGGGGAAGGGGCCTTTTATATCTGCGCGGTGGACGCTCGCTTACGCTAGCCACTAGCGAGGTCATGTGTTTTGCCCGTTTTTGCTTGCTGCTTGAGTGGGTCGCCCAATCAGCGCCCGCGAAAACTCTTCCTCACCCCTGGCCGGACCTTCACTTGGAGATCGAATTCGCGTGTTACTGCTTCCTGAAGCTTCCATGGTCTGTTTCTTTGACTAACAATTATTGTCTTTTCCATCGGACATAACTTGCCTCCGTGGTTGGTGGTGGTGGTGGTGGTGGTGGTGGTGGTGGTTTCTCCACAATAAGTTGATGCATTTGGTGCCTGAGGACGGGAAGTATATCTTTGATTTCGTTCGGCACAACCACATTCATAATTTATGCTTTGGACTCCAACAACATTAACAAGTCTATATTCTACTCCAATGTTTCCAGTCTCCAACAAGTAACACTACAACTAGTTCCGTGAAGCTAACACGCGATACATGCATTGACTGTGCTCTAGTTCACGCAAAATTCAGCCTGGTCTCAGCTTGGAGTAGTAGTCCCTATATGGGTCGAGTCAGTATGGATCCTGAGACATGCTATCTCGAGTGCGAACAAAATACATAGAGAAATTTAAATCTACTTGCATATTGTGTGTACAGGATTGGAGTCTGCTACCCAAAATAGCCCGTTTCTACTAGATTGACTGTCGGCTACCTTGCCGGGTAGTTAGTATGGCTCATTTTTCAGTCTACCTGATGCCCCGATGAACGTATCAGGACCACACCCCCTACAGCCATGACCGTTTGAGATTGATAGCCGGTTCACCCGCACAGCACAGATTCTGCCATGTTGATCCTGCCGGAACGGGGTCTGCCCTTTCGGGCACTATTAGGGTCCTTGTGCGCATGTGCTCCAGGGTCTGCCTCTAAAAGGAATGATGTAACAAGTTCCGAGATTTATCCTGCCATAAGGACATCAGGACCCTGGCTCGGCTATAATCATCGGGAAGTATCTGGGTAGAGACCAAGCATGCTAGGCGACACTTCATTGTTGCCCCTGCTGGCAAAACTTCCTTGCACTAGTGTATATGCTCAGGACTACTGTAAGTATGAACTGCAGGAACGGCTTTGTAGACTACAAGAATGACAAAGGCATTTGAAATGATGAAGACCATAGTATAACATACAGACTTCCGAGGAAAAGTGACTTTCTTGAAAGTATCGCCGAAGTTACGCGGGTACGAGTTTCCGATGTAGAGCAGGTCTAGCATTGTTGTACCTGGGAACTGGAATGACAATAAGGTTCGAATTAGGCGTTTTAGAGCCCGTTTCATGATCGATCCCCCGGGATGAACAAGGCACAGACATCTTCTTGTTCGTTCATCCATCATGATCGTCCCCGTTCCTGCTCCACCCTCACCCAAGAATCGGTCGACCAGGGTCTTGATGATCAACACTCCCTGATGCTTATACTTCCGTCAGGCTCCTGCGGCCAACCTTCCCACCAAAGAGAACAGTCCATCCAATGTTTCGTCCAAAAATCGAGGCGGTTTGGAATTTTCCAGAGAACCCGGCTGAACCTACATTCAACCCGGTGCTACATCATATCGTTTCAGCAGAATGAACAGGTGCATCATCGATAGGCTATCATTGTCTTCCATACTCATGCCAGCCTTGACGGCCCGAGGAGCCAAAGGTATATAAACCTCTTCCTTGCCCGCTGAATAGTTTCTATCATCATCAGCATCGCATCGCATCGCATCTCATACTCCCATACTCTCAAACTCTCATTACCTAAAAGCAATATCAGCTTTTCATCCAGCAAAATGAAGTTCACTGTCGGTTCTGCTATGGTGGCCACCACCTTCCTCTCCGCTGCGAACGCCGCCTTCCCCTCCATCCCCAACATCCCCGAGACCTGCTTGGAGATCCCCCAGGTCATTGGCAACAAGCCTCTCCAGCTGCTCTCCTACTTCCACAAGGAGGTCTGCGAGAAGAACTGCACTGCCACCATCAACCAGCACAATCAGTACCTTCAGGAGTCGGTCTTCCCCCAGATCATGAAGGACCTGGACCAGAAGCTGGACATACCCGCCTCCGAGCAGGCCTCTTTCCAGAAAATCCAGACTCAGATCACCTCCGCCATCGAGAAGGACTGCAAGTCTGAAGGCGACAAGCCTCTGTGCAATGACCTCGAGGGTTTGGCCAACTACGGCATTTGTGCGCTCAAGGCTAGCCAGCCCATCATTATGAACAACATTGGCCAGCTCCAAGGCTCTGTGAACATCACCGACGCCGACTGCACCAAGATCAAGCAGATCGATTCCGACGCGACTGTCTGGCAGAAGACCCTCCCCGGGTACGTTGACAAGTTCGCTCAGCTGTGTGAGAGCGAGAAGTCGAACTAGAGGTATGACAGCTTGCCAATCATTTGCAAACCATTGCTGACTGTTGTGATCAAGGTTCGCGGGACCAACAATCCGGTGATAGAAGCCTGCTATATCGCATGGACGTGTAGTGTTAGGAGATCGGGAATCTTTGGCTTTTTGGGTTTAGTCTGACGCTGTAGCAGCATCTGGGATGCTCGCCGTCGCTCCTTTGGACGCGTCGATTCGCAATGAAGAATGTTAGAATGTTATTGTGAGTGCCTGACTTTGACAGGTAGTTCATCGGGTACTCTAGTTTAGAATGTGAAATGTGACTTTTTGCTTTTCTGTTCCTGCAGTGAAATTGTCAATCGTAATTTAATGGTGCCTGAAATTCGGCGTTGAACCCCTGGCGCTCACGTGCCCGAGGATCATCCGCAGCGGCTTCCGAACTGCTGCTTATCTCCATCCGATAACTTCATCCGATAGTGTTACCTCAATACTTCATCGAATGATAATCTCCACACTCTCTTCATTCCCCTTTCAGACTGCCGTGGCACAATGCGGGGTGCTTCCAGTCTATCTCCTTGCAGACAGCACTCTTGTCAAGCCCTGAACGAACCCCTCTGAAATCGGATCTACTTCACCGAACATCAGCGGCATCACTGGCACCCCAGACGGATCCACTGAACATCTCGGCATGCCATACTCGGTACTATGCCCCGCCCTAAAGTACACCCAGCCAACCGCCTAAGAGCCTATGAGGCTTGCAATGCGTGCAGGTCGACAAAAAAGCGATGCAGTGGGACATTTCCATGCTCAAAGTGCATCAGGCTCGGACGCGCCGATACATGCGTGCCGAGTCCACGGCCCGCTGCTCAACGGCCGACTGCAAACACCCGAATTTCCGACAATAGCAATGTAACATATGATTCTGGGCGTCGACCAACCACAACCCTTGGTGCGAATACCTTGGCAGGTCGGGCAGATTCCGCTAGCTTCGAGGCTTCGGAGCCGAGTCGATCGACAGTAGATACTCAGCCTATGTCCCCAGAAACGTTACATAGGACCCATCCACGGATGCTCCGCAATCTCCGTGGCGAACGAGGTAATATAGAACTAAATGGGTTGTATCAAAGGCTGTAGCTAATCTCTCGCATCCGGCAGTCTATGTGGGAAAGGCTGCCTCCTTGTCCTTCCTACAATTGGTCCGAGACACTGTATCACAGTATATTGGGCCATCGCAATTCTCGCACAATGTGAAAAGTGAAGATATGCTGGAGACGGAGACACCGCATGGAACTCCTCCAACACTAGAGAGTAGCCTGGACTCATATCAGCTACTCCAGTACTATCAGACCTATAGCTCTGCTACTAGTGGCTTTATCTACGTCTTGTCAGGTGCGGAAGCTATGGAAATTCTTGATGCATTGATTGAGCCTAGCACACATCCGGATAGAACAGAGATGGCCGTCGCAGATATGATTATCGCTATCGGGGCACAGGCTAGCAAACGCACTGTATCGACCGAGCAAGCCGAGCGCTATTTCTTCTCCCGTGCTCAACGCAGCGCCTTTGAGGGGATGTTAGAAAACCCAAGCCTACCTCTGATACGGTTGTTCCTATTGATGTCCTTCTATATGCTTGGTGCTTGTCGTCGGAATGCTGCCTTCATGTATCTTGGAGTGGCTGTCCGGGCTGCCGTGGCATTGGGTCTTCATCTTACCGAGCTCGCGGATGCCGTGCCTAATCCTGAGCAACACCAGAGAGCAAGGGTGTGGATGAGTGTCTATAACCTGGACCTCCTGGTAAGCTCTATCCTTGGGAGGCCGGCTGCGACAGCTGCTCTACGTTCAGAGACAGGTGATGGGCCTATCCGTTACACACTCCTGGAGGGCCACATGTCGATGGGCTTGGTTGCGTCCTACGGAGTCTCGAGGATCTTAGAGGAGATTATCTCGTCTATGTACAGCAAAGAAGGAGCCTCGGCTGATCTCGCATATTCGCTCCTAGCCAAACTTAAGCAATGGAGCGATGAACTACCAGGCCCATTGGTAGAACCTCCTACCCTTGACTTCGAGGAACCTGCTGCGCGAACCCATATCATCAACAATCTTCACGTTGCGTGCATCTACCATTTTGCGGTAATCACAGCCACGCGACCCTTCCTGGTGTCAGTATTAGGCGTGCGGCTGGCGCGGTTGCACAACGACTCTACAGACGGCGCATCAGGTGATCTGTTGCATGAGGAGGCGGCACATTCCAATCTGGCGACTGCTTGCATCGATTCGGCCTTGTACATGATACAGACGTGCTCCGAGGTGCACCGCTCTGGATTAATGCTAGGTAATATGTGCATACTGAAAGCTTTTGTATTCGCTGCCGCTTTGGTTCTCGGATTCTCAATGTTCTCTCGGAAGGAGGCAGAGCCCTCGCATGAACGGGCTTACGGGGAAGCCCTGGAGATCCTTCGTGTGCTTTCGGAGCAGTCCGCCCAGGCAGCACATTACTATGAGATACTTAGTTGCCTGGGCAATGCCGTTGCTGAGCAGCGTCGACGACTTGTGCAGCATTCCCGCCAGGCCAAGGGGCGATATGTCAGTAAGCTTTTCAGTCTGGATGATCGCAGGCCCTCTGTGGAGGTGCAACGGGGGTTAGACACGCCATTGTTGAATAGCGTTTCTGCTATATCCCCTGAGTCCGGCATCTCGGATCCATGGGCTGGTATTCAGCGCCTGGGTTTTATGGACTCTCTGGAGATCGATGCAGCATTCACTGGTCTCGACGGTATGCAGCTGCCGGTGTGGGATAGCTTTCCCTTCGTTGGCGAGGCTTTTCAATTGCAGGGCAGGGTAAGTGATGTAACTTGATGTTATATGAGAACGTTTTATGCCGTGACTTGTGATCTCTTTATGCATTATTTGGCGGGAGCGTGTATGAATTTCATGGTTATTTATCGGTTATGTAAAGTTGTCGAATGGTGTCGCGGGTACGTGAAGTTCGAACGCTCCGAACCTTCGGACACTATTTTTTTCTATTTCCTTTCCATCCAGCTCATTGTCTATGGTACTTACTGGACCGGTGGTGTGTACTATTAATAGTTTACGTCTTCTGTGGGTGTCTCTGGTATTCTCAAGAGACTGAAGAGTCGGTGTTATTCGAAAACTGAAGGTGGAAGAGAAACTGCATGTGGATATATATACCTTCATCCGCCATTTACCGCACCCTTCCAATCCAAACTATAGTAGCAGATGAACTATCATAAAAGTGCCAATATAGAATAGCATGTACCTGTATCAATATATTCCAGGCCACACCAACCAAAATATAAAGCAAACTCGCATGTTTACTATCAAAATGGGTATCCTGAAGATTCGCACTTCCGTCGATGGTGCAACTGTGGGGCAAGCGGCTAGCTAGCATTACAATGCAAATTTTGTTCACTAGTTTTCAACAATTGGCCTGCTGGCCCAATGGTAAGGCGCTTGACTACGGATCAAGAGATTGCAGGTTCGAGTCCTGCGTAGGTCATTTCTTTGCTTTTTATTTTTGTTCCCATCGTCTGCCGTCTAACTATACACTTCGGCCACTCCTTCCCCCCTTCACAGCTCCACCAGCCTGGTGTCCCCGACCGTACCATCATCTTTCACACCTATCGCACTTAACGACGCATGACATATGGGCAGGACTGGTGTCAGCCTCCCACAAATATTCTTCTAGACCCTACATATGTCGATTTGCTGCATACTGACTCGTGTGAGTGATGCCTGACGAAACGTTGCGAGCATGGACCAACACAATGTATCCTGCGAGGCCGTCCGTCACCCAGCCGTGCTGCACGCATTATGCTGCAGGATGCAAACGACGCATTGTTTGCCAATATCCGTCCCTTCTCCCCCTCCACCTCAAAGGACTTTCCCGCGCTACATTGAACTAGTTCAGACGGTGGTTGGTGGCTGCTTTGTCTCCACTTCCACAGCTCCAGCGGCCCGCCGAGCGGGTCGTAGATGCATTGTATCTTACTATCCAAGATGCCTGATTTGTCTCACGACTTCCTACAACGGCCGGGGCACATGCTTATCCTCGCCGGCCTTCTTCCTCTTCCCCGCTCGAATACAAGCTGATGGCGTTGGTTAACATACCACTGGCAAATCATGCTCCTACGGCTGCAGCCACTTCCGTTAGTGCATGTAACCCGCGACTATTGACGATGACGAGGTTGAGTTACAGTTGATGAACTTGTCAACACCTTAGGGGCTTAGAGCAATGCACTAAGGAATGCCACGGTCTCACCAGCAGATGCGCCGAACAGGGCTATGGCATCGCGCCTTCTCGTTCTAACGGCGACCGGGCTGGATCAGCTCGTTCTCGCCTCCCACTCCACGCCGATCACCGAGTCATGAGCTTCATGGATGGCAATCATCATCACGGCAGACTATCGCAGCCAATGTATACCCTGTCATAGATGGGGTCTTCGGCAGTCTTGCATTTACCTGACGCTCAGCTACGCGTCTGCTATCACCTCCTACGTTGATATGGCTGGAAGGAGGAGGACAGTGTATGCACGACCCCCTCTCAACCCCGCAACATATGATATTTCAATATATCCTGCAGCGTCGGACAGGGATGCACCCTTCGCTATACTTATGAAGGCACGCCCCTCCAAAGGACCCAGTTCTGCTCTTATCATTGAGGCCAGCACGTTGACGGTCTACTGAACCATGTCCCTGCTAGTGAGAGCCATCACTGGCCTGCTCGGCCTTCTTATTCTCAAGTCCTTTTTGACTCGCAAGAAGTTTCTGGCCCCACTCCCCCCGGGCCCCAAGCCGAAGCCGATCATCGGGAACCTGCTCGACCTACCATCCAAGGGAGAAGCAGATTGGCTGCATTGGTATAAACACAAGAAGGCCTATGGTACGTATAGTACCGACACTCACGTGCCTAGTCACGGCTAACAATATCCATAGGCCCTATCAGTTCGGTACAGGTCTTTGGAGAGACCCTCATAATCGTTAACGATGCCCGTATTGCAGTTGAGTTGATGGAGAAGCGTTCAGTTATACACTCAGATCGACCTAGCCTAACATTTATCGAAATGTTCGCAATCACCGCCCTGGGAAGGTTAGTTCGCTGCTAACGGCTGGCTAGGTCCGGGTTCAAGGATATCGTCAGCATGAGGAACAACAATGACCCGCGAGTTCGTGCTGAGCGGAAGCTATTCTATCAACAAATTGGGTCAAACAACTCCGTTGCGCGGTTCAACCACATTCAGGAGGCTGAAGTTGGTCGTTTCCTGGTTCGGGTGCGTGATAACCCCGAAGGTTTGCAAGATCACATACGGAAGTATGTCTGCCATATTAGCTCCTGGAACTGCACCGGTGCTAACGGCTATATACAGACAAGCAGCAGCAATCATTCTGAAACTAGCATATGGATACAGTGTTGTGCCACATGGGAATGACCCATTGGTGGACCTTATAGGCCGGGCAATGGGCAACCTCGGCGCGGCCCTTGTTCCCGGGGTGTGGCTAGTGGATTTCATTCCATTCTGTATGCACCGTAGCTCTCCCAACGAGAGGAGACGGCTAACTGGATGATTAGTGAGGCACATTCCAACCTGGTTCCCAGGTGCCACATTTGCACGCGTTGCACAGACCTTCAGAGAAAGCGCCCGAGCCTGGAACTGTCAACCGTACGAGTTTGTCCGGTATCAGATGTCGCAAAACAAGCACGCGCCATCTTATTTATCCGGCTTAATCGAGGAGAAGGGTGTCCCAGAGCCAGGCTCCTTTGACGAGGCTGTCATGAAATGGTCTGCCGCAGCATTGTACGGTGGAGGATCCGACACGGCAAGTACTACCCTCTGAACCCCGTAAGCCGTATCTAATTACATAACAGACCATTTCCACCATGGGCGGACTTTTTCTCGCGATGGTTCTCTACCCGGACGTACAGCGGAAGGCACAGGAAGAAATCGACCGAGTTGTTGGAACAGACCGTCTTCCCGGCTTCGACGATCGCGACAACCTCCCTTATATCAACGCAATGGTCAAAGAGTCCCTCCGTTGGCACTCCGTGCTTCCAATGGGGGTTGCGCACTGCTCGTCGGAGGATGACATGTGCGAAGGCTACTTTATCCCAAAAGGCTCCCAGATCCTGCCGAATCAATGGTGAGACCTAGCCCTCTTCCTCCAGTCAATGGTCGACGTCTATATCTAATACCTCTTCAGGGCCTTCACTCACGACCCAGATGTTTACCCCGATCCAATGGCCTTTAAAACTGAACGATTCCTAGCAACTGAGAACCACACTCCCGAACGCGACCCCCATCTCCTCGCCTTCGGGTTCGGCCGTCGCATCTGTCCCGGCCGCACACTGGCAGATGCCAACATCTACCTGAGCATTGCGCAGTCGCTGGCCGTATATCGCTTCACTAAGCCCATCAAAAACGGTAAGGAAGTGGATGTAGAGCCGAAATTCTTGACCGGAGCAATCAGTCACGTGGCGCCGTTCGAGGTGGGCATTAAGCCCAGAAGTCAGCAGCACGAGGCGCTGCTGCAGGCGTTGGAGGCCAAGTTCCCGTGGGAAGAGGGTCACGCGGAGGAACTCAGTCAGGTGAAGTTTTGAAGCAGATGAGTTCCTTGCATGCTGATCGATAGTGTTTGTCAGATCATGCATGATTTGATTACCGAGTAGTTGGGGGCATATCCCGTTGGGCGTCGAATATTTAGTTTGTCAGATGTTACTTATTCCTTAGTTATCACGGGTAGAGAATTAGGCAGACAAGTCAAAACTACCCAGTTAGTCTAGGTAACCGCGACACCAACACCCATCAATTATCGAATCACCGTACAATCAGCGTGACACCATCTGACTCATCCAGCCCCATTCCTGAGCCTTGAAGTTAACTAATAGTTACTAGTTAAACGGAAGAAGGTGATGAAACATGATAATCGCCCAGCCACTATTTACTACTACTTATATACCTAATACCTAATAAATAGCCTTATATCTACATGCCAGAACCCACCCATCCTTATAGTACTGGTACCCCCCCGCATTTCTACCATTCACTGTCTGTCAACCAACTCTACTACCTGACATTCCTTACTACTTAACTTACTTTTACCTTTATCCATCTGTCCACCTCTACCCTCCGAACACATTTATACCACACCACAGCCACTACCATACTATACTATACCATACTATACCAAGAACACAATGACCCTACCATCACCACCACCATCACCAACCCCCACCTCAAGATCAGATTCAGGATCAATATCCCTCCCGCGCTCCCAACAAAGCATCGAAACCGATCTCGCGACACTTGAGGCCATGATCGAGGAACTGAATAATAGTGTGCTTCCGAGGATACCGGAGGGGAGGGGAAGGGGCGGTGGGGCTACTACTGGAAGACAAAGGAGGAGGAGGGGGACAAGATGCGTGGAGAGGGTTGAGGATGTTGCTGGGGCGATGAGGTTGTGTACTATTGGGGGGTGATTGATGGGGGTTTGTTCTTTTCTGGTTTGGGGGATGACTGGTGGGGTTTGCGAGGTGTTTGGATGGGTAGGGATGGTATTACTACTACTAGGGTGTTCCTAGGTGATGACGATGGCTATGGTTATGGCTGTTTAGCGTGATTTGTTGCTTGGGAGTTTGTTTTCGGATAGGGATAGATGGGTTGTGGGCGTATTTGCTGCTTGCTTTGGATAGCTATGGTGTTTGAACTGGTTATTACGATCGGGAAATCTCGACCATAGATCTTGTATGGGATCAAGGTAGATGTATATCATATATTGCTTTCAGATGATTATGTATTACATGGCTGACCCAGGTATATCCTCTCCTGGATGTGTGTTTCGTGTCGTCGTATCCTCGTAGATGTCGTATCAGTGCATCGCACAAAGTAGCAGCCAGCTGCTACCGACATGGGTTCCCGTTAAGTATCCAATAAGTTGCATCATGTTAGGCAACTGAAGGGCTGTTGGACGTATAAATGGCCGCCGTTATACTGCCACCACCGCGCGGTTAAAAAGCCTGACAGAGTTAGTATGATTGAGATTGAATTCTATACTGATAAGGCAACTCACCTTGCACTCATATTCCAAAGCAAAAACACACAGAGAAAGATAAGCCCGTGGATCAAAGCTGCAAGCATGTTAGCTCATAATCTCAAGCGATAAGTTCAGATGCAAACCAACCTTCATTTCCAAAAGACCTGACCATCTCCCAACGACCCCGTTTCTTCATCCACAATGGAAGCAGATCCTTCCGACACGTCCTCCCCTCAATGACCAGACACCCACCGGGTTGTGCCCTACACTCCAGATGCCGTCTTCTGCGCTCCATGATCACTCGAATTGTCTTATTACAGAACGCCTCGTCCGTCCGGAACGAGCATTTCTCCATTGGACAATCGAGTTTCTGTGAAAAGCGTTCCACAAACCAGTCGACCTTCAGGTGGACCCCGGTGTAGACGAGAGAGTAGAAATGACGAGAGGTGTGTTTCAATGCTAGTGCATCTGGGTAAGGGAGATATGTGGAAATATGTAGATGGAGTTCTGTGGGGAGGTCCATCAGGTTGAGGGAAGGGATAGCAGGGGCTTCTTGGAGCGATGAGGAGTCCATTGTGTGTGTGTTATTTGTTTGTGTGGAGGGTAGTGCGATGTAGATGTAAGATGGAAGAAGCAAAAGTAGTTTATGAGGATATGGATCGTGACCAAGCTGTGATGCTGAATGAATATCGTCCTACTGCTTGGATGCTGTAGACACCTTAATATAATCGAATATTTGGTTGCCTTGGTGAATTGTTGGCGGCGCTTAATTGTTGCCTAGGCGCTGAAAATATGATGCCTGATTGTGGCTATACGAGACTAGGCGGCAAAGAATTGAGATGCCTCAAAGCACTCTAAAACCGAGCTAGGATGTAGTCCAAGAGCAATCGTCCTGCTAAAGCTGGATAACCAATCCATTGACGAGGTTCAAAGTTCCCTAAAAATAGAAGTCTAGACTTCACGTCGACACTGCCAATACACACCAAGATAAGTGCAGTGATGGAGAAAGGGGAAACAACAACAAGATGTAAGATCCGGGGATGTCCTGCAGATCCACCCACCCCGCTTTGCACACCGCCTGCCTTTTCTGCCGGCAAGCTTCCATCCATCGGCTTTTCGCCTCCGATAACTATCGACATCAACTGAATATCAAGCTATCAACTTCAATCAATCAACGCATACACAACCCCCAGGACCAAACCCCATATTTCATAAACAGTACCCAACAGGGTACCCTCTCCCGCAATCACCATGAGCAACAACAAGCAATCCTCCTCCGCCTACGGCACGCCCTCCTCGGACACCGCATTCCGTAAAACCTGGGACCGCGAAGAATACGCCAAAAAAGCCGCCGATGACGAAGCCAAGCGCAAGGAAGAATCCAAAGCCCGGTATGAGGCCAAACTTCTAGGCAAGAAATGGCACGCGCCGGTGGATTACAGCCAACTCGAAGCCACGACATCGCGCAAAGAGCGACTCGATGTCACTTCGATGGTCGGCAAGACGACTATTGTCGCGTCGGGGTCAGCGATCGGAAAGAGAGGTCGGGGTGCTGGATTCTACTGCTCAGACTGTGATTTGACGTTTAAGGATAACTTGCAGCTTGTGGAGCATTTGAATAGCAAGCAGCATTTGATTGCAACGGGGCAGAGCGGGGAGGTTACGAGGGCTACAGTGGAGGATGTGAGGGAGAGGTTGAGGATGTTGGCGTATCGGAAGCGGGTGCGCGAGGAGGAAGAGAGACGGGCTTGGCAGTTGGATCTGGGGGAGAGGCTGAAGGAGCGGGAGGAGCAGGATGCTAAGGAGAGGGAGGAGAAGAGGAGGAAGAGGAATGAGAAGCGTCGTAAGGGGGGCGATGGGATTAAGCAGGAGGATGAGAGCTGGGAGGGCAGGTTGGGGATTATTGCGTAAGCTCATGTGGATGAGCTTGGGCATGTGCATGGTCTGTTTCGGAAAACATGGTCATAGATGGGATGGTTTATCAGGGCTGAAAGCTGCAGTATACCCATGGCGTTTGGAGCTTGAGAATTCATTAATCGCAAATTTCCGTTTTATCCAAACAAGGGAGAATATCATTGTCGCATCAGAAAGCGCAGAAATCCCATAAGCATATACCGACTGCACCGTTATCAACAGAGATTGCGGCAAAATTATTGTACCACTGAAAAACAAGATAAACCCAAGTACCTATTCCAATGCCCATTGCCCGACCCGCATACTCCTAACAGATAATACCCAAGTGATCCGATCAATCTATGCATTCTATGCCTTCCAACACCCGCATAGCTCGAGCACCCTCGCGTTCAAACTGGCTAACCAGCCTCTCACACTGCTGCTTGAGTTTCTCCTCTCCGTTCTTCGCGTTCCACTTGATCCATTCCTCAACGGTCATCTTCTTCTCAGGGCTTGTCAAGTCACCCTTGACGCTATGTAAACCACCGAAGTCAATGTTTTCCTTGTCACCTCCAGCCAAGATAATTCCGTCAATATCGATGGGAGTCCACGGATGGGATGTGTTCAGGGAATTCACATTTGGCCCTCGCTTGGAAGGGGAGGGTGTGCTGGCTGCAAGTGGAATCCGAACCTGCTTAGAAGGCGACCCTACTGGCGCCCGGTTCACAGACGGTTTCAGAGACGGTGGCTGATTCTCGGCGTCGGAAGATTGCGGCGACAGTGACAGAGTGCTCTTAGAGGGCGAGGGAAGAGGCGACACCGTAGCTGGCTCAGATCGCTCCGGCTGATGGCTCTCTTCCGGCGCTGGGTCGACATGGGAGTTTCGAGATTCTGCTAATGACCTGGCATACTGCTTCTCTCTGGGAATATCGCTGTATCTTTCCACCGTCTTTGGAGGAACCCGAGATGATCTGCGCCGAGCAGATGGCTGATCTGGGGTCTGACTTTGAGGCTTTTCTTGCTCAAGTTGTTGTGGGGTGTCAGGCTGTTGTTCTGGCCCGTCTGTCGCCCTGTTCTCAGCCTTGGTGTGGCTCTCTTCATGGTCGAAATCTACATCAACCTTCTGTTCTGCGTGTTTGGAAGCTCGCTGCTTCTCCGCTGAAGCCTTTTTCTTCGTCTTCTTAGATTCCTTGTTATTCTGAGCTGCACCGACGCCCTGCTCTGAGTTCCTTGCTGGAATTTCTACAGAGATGAATGACTCTTGTTGCTTCGCGTCGGCCACAGCGTCAGTCGTAGGTTCCGGCCCTGGCTGCATGACGGACTGGGGTGGCTCTTGGTCATGGCTGCTTTGCCGAAGCTTATCGGAGACTCTTGCGCTTTGCCGTCTGCTTGTGCGTCGGGTCTGCTGTACCTCTTCGACTGGTGGTTCCGGTTCTGGCTCTGGAGCCTTTTCAGGCTCTGGCATCGCCTCTTCCTGCGGCCCCATGTCTGCGCTATGCTCTACCGTTTCATTTGTCGGTTCCGGATCCGCCTTGGCCTTCTTCTTGGATTTAGACTTGGACTTTTTCAACGGCTTGTGCTGGGGCTCCTCGCTTGGCTCTTCACCGGGCTTCTCCAGATCATGGTCGATATCCATTGCTGCTTCTTGCTCATGAATGGGAGGAACCTCAGACGCGGCTCTCGAGATGGCTGATTCTGTGGAGACCTTTCGGCTCTTGGATGTTGTTTTCTTCTTCGTTCCACGGCTCTTCTTTGGCTTCTCTTCTTCGACAGGAGGTTCCTCTACCTGTGCATCTTCCCTAACGGCCTCTAGGCTGCTGTCGTATTCCTGCTGTGTGCTGTTGTGTGACTTGGTGGCTCTCTTTTTGGCCGGTCTTTCGGGCTTTTCCACCGTCTCAGAGTCCACAACGTCGGCCTCGTCCTTGAGGTCGTCACTAGTTCTCTTTTTTCCCCTAGTGCGTTTCGTCTTTTTGGGCTCGGGCTGGCTGTAATCCGTTGTATCGACATCCATCTGACTGTCGACGTCTACTGTCTCTTCCTTCTTTGACTTTGTCTTTGATTTGGACTTGGAAGATTTCTTCGAGGATTTCGTTTTTGTAGTTGATTGGGACAGGGTACTCTGGTCTACCGGGTCGTCTAGCTCAGATACTGGCGCTTCCGATGCGGTAGATTGTGTGGATAGACGAGAAGCCTTCGAAACACGAGCCTTCTTGGACCGGGAACCTTTCCCTTTCTTTCCAGAGGGTTTGGCAAAGACAAAGAAGGAGCAATCCGACGAGCGACGATAGTGTTCATCACTGATCAAGTTAGCGATAGTTGGAAAGGAAGGAGCAACGCAGACTCACAATGGATCATCCTTGGGTTCCCAGCCATCCAGAGACAGCTTACAATATGGGCAGGTGGCCAAGTCGTTGCTCTCTTCGTTCGGACAGAAGTACCATCCGCCTTCCACCATCTGTAATGCAGTGCAACAGTCAGATTCCCAAAGTGAACCAATACAGCAGGTGCAGTAGCAGCGCTCAACATACCTTGTCGGATTGACAATACCAGCCTCGCTTCCCGTCATGCGGCCATGATTCGCCAAATGTGGCTTGCCTGGCTTGCGCTATCCGCTCGCTTGTGGGATCCTCAATCTCAGCAGGATTAGAACTGTGCTGTTGAATGTCCATCATGATAGCCCAGCCACAATCCCGGGTGTGCTTGAGGTGCTCTGTAATGGGGTTGTCATCTTCCTCCCAACCGTCTAGTGCTCTGCGGCACAGGAAGCATGTTGTGTTATCGGGGTTCGTTTCGTAAGGGTTGTAGAAGAAACCTGCATGCGCAAGCTATGACCGTGTGACATATCAGCAATTGTGCATTTCTTGAGTTGCAGGTGCAAAACACCATACCTCAGCGGGAGATGGCCGGCTATGCGGCCAAGCGATCGGTTTCGCAGACTTCGCGCTGGATGACCTCCGTTTCTCGGGATACAACACCCGATCGAAACTGGCGAGGCGAGCGGCAAAGGTCTCCATTTCCTGGGCCATGGCTGCGAGAATTTCAGGACATGGGGAGTGGTGTAATTGAGGGTCAAATCGAGCTGTAATCGACTGAAGCGCGAGAGTTGCTGTTCGAGGCCTGCGCCCGCCGTCACACTCTTGTTTACGGCGTTGTTTGGGTCTCCGAAACGCGCCGCGGAGGAACGACCCCACGTGACCTGCAAGATGTGGCTTGACTGGATTGGGAGTGTCTGGGGTCGGGATCGTGGCGAAGTCGGGCACTTTCCTCATCCGGGCTGCAATCGAACAGGCCGAGAACACCTGCCGAAGAGTACGTCAGACCCTCATTATTGTGAACATTTGTTGTCGGAGCCATCCCCCCCAGTCTCCTCTCCACTCCTGCTCGCCCTCTGTTTACCTTCCTCCCAATCTGTATCGGTTTGGAAGTATGGTCTAAGGCGGTCGTTCTCAGATGATTCTTGACTTGATTTCTAATTACAGCCCTCGCTGTGCTCAACTTATCCTTCCCTTAGTGGAATCGCGACAATGCGCCAAGCTACTGTAAGAAGAGACACCGGGATGCCTAGACCCTTGGAGTGCATCACCCGCTAGAGACTAACGGATACCTTGCTAGACTTCCCTATTGAACACGAACTCAGGTTATGTGCGCCTGCGTTCGATCAACCCGTCTCTCCCGCGGCATGCGCGCATCCCGGGTTCTTTTCGCTCCTTCTCGGTTGACCCCTACTCGACTTCATCATCTCATGGCATCTCCTCTCCTTCGAACCGATCCTCTTCCCATGGTGTCCTAACCTCGCAATCGACCTCCACAGACCGTGGCCTTCTGCTTCCCTCGTCTTCAGCCTCCTTCTCTACCTCCTCACAGCGGTCGGATCCCGGCGACTGGGATGCGAATCCGGACCTGTCGATCTCCGCGTTTTCGGAGCTACCTTCCAAAGACTTCGGGGTCAATCAGCATATGGTGATCAACCAGGAATTCAAAGAAGCCTTGCGTCAGATTCTTTGGCAGTTCCGAGCTCCGATTCGATATGCGTTTGCCTATGGATCCGGTGTCTTCCAACAGACAGGCAGTGCGCCTGGCTCCAGTCAGTGCCACCCGTCGGCCCCAGCAGCCATCAAGAACATGCAGCAGGGGCAAGGTAAAATGATTGATTTCATTTTCGGGGTATCATACTCCCAACATTGGCACTCCTTGAATCTTCACCAGCATCGAGACCATTACTCTGGCTTGGGATCCTTGGGCTCTTACATGGTATCCCAAGTGCAGGATCGAATTGGCGCCGGGGTCTACTTTAACCCCTACATCACCGTTAATGGCACACTAATCAAATATGGGGTCGTGAACCTTGACACTCTGTGCCGGGACCTCAGCCAATGGGATACCTTGTATCTTGCTGGACGGCTGCAAAAGCCAGTCAAGATCTTGCGTGACCACCCGAAGGTGCGACTGGCCAATCAAATGAACTTGCTATCCGCCGTCCGAGTAGCTCTACTGCTGCTCCCGGCTGAGTTCACCGAGTTTCAACTGTACAGCACCATTGCAAGCATGAGCTACATGGGCGATCTTCGCATGGCACTGCCAGCGGAAGATCCTCGCAAGGTGAACAACATCGTGTCGTCGCAGATGGCTAACTTCCGGCGACTATATGCGCCCCTTATTGAAAACCTGCCCAATGTTACGTTCAACGATAAGCGCTGCACGGAGGGCGATTGGATCGATGATCCCGAAGCCAACGTGCGCCTTACTCAGGATATGGATCCGGTCAAGCGCGGTAACATGGTTCGCCGTCTGCCGGACTCTTTCCGTGAGAAGCTCTACTTCCAGTACCAAACCCGTTATCAGATCCCTCGGGTCGAGTTCGACAAGATGATGAAGGAGAGCAACAACAACGACTCCGACTTAGTGCGTCGGAGGCAAGGAGGTCCATTTGAACAGCGGATCGCTGATGACAAGAGCCTCACGGAAGAAGTGCAGACTACAATTGCAAAGACCATCCGCTGGCCTAGCACCGTGCAATCGGCGAAGGGACTGCTCACCTCGGGGGTCAGCCGAACCTGGCGATACTTGCGCGAGAAGCAAGATAAATACAAGAAGTCTGGCCAAAAGGCCAAGACTTCCGATGCTGCTGAAGAATAGAAACTTATGACTAAAGCATGATTGCTCACTCTCGACCCTGGAGGACATGAGCAACCCTAGACGACATCTGTCTGAAGGCATTTGAGGCGTTGTTGCTTGTACGGCATTGGTAGTCATGTGTGTATCTAGTATGTCATCTTGAAAGTCCTCAATGATTTAAAAAATCAAGGACCGCAGACAGTATATAAAAGGCCTGGAGCATTACATAAAGAGAAAGGATAGATAGATGAATAACAAAGTGTACAATAGTGGTATTAAGACTTGTCTGTGTCACCATTCTAATACTCATAATCATTGCCGCAGTACCTGGAGCGACACTCCCGCCGACACCGGGTGTTCCGCCGATCAACTTCCCCGCCACCGGTGACTCCCCTCCCCGCCTGGCCATTCTTTCTTCCTCTCCCCACCACCATACTCTCGCTCATCACATATCAATCTGTACACAATGGCTCCATTCGATCTCGCCAAATGCGCGCGGCCCAACATCCTCAAATTGCAGCCTTACCGGTGCGCCAGAGAGTGTGTTTCCCCCGTCTCCGCTAGACTGCGACGAAGGCACTAATGAGTCAGTGACTACAAAGATGATGGGACGAACGTCTTGCTCGACGCCAACGAGAACGCCTACGGCCCCGGTCTTGCCCTCAATCCTGAAGGTGCTCTGCAGGAGTCTACTGTGACGGGATCGTCGACGGGTTCTACCAAGCCAGAAATTGATTTCCTGGGTCTGAACCGTTATCCGGATCCGTAAGTCTCGCTCATTCCCTCGCTCGCACAAGGTCCTTCACCACCAACCCACCTGTTCCTTATACATTGTGCTATTGGATTGCTGTTGGGATTGCTAAAAGAAGTTGTGTGTCAGTCATCAGGTCGAGTTGAAGAAGCTTTTCTGCCAGCTGCGCAACACCCACACCCACACCCAGAAGGACCTCGGGCCCGAGAACCTCTTCGTCGGTGTCGGATCGGACGAGGCCATCGATGCGCTTTTGAGATGTTTCTGTGTTCCTGGCAAGGATAAGATCCTCACTTGCCCTCCCACATATGGCATGTACGGTGTCAGCGCACAAGTGAACGATATTGAGATTGTGAAGGTGCCTTTGGATGTGGACAATGGCTTCCAACTGCAGCCGGAGAAGATCAACGAGGCGCTTGCGGCAGACCCCTCGATCAAGATGGCCTATATTTGCTCTCCCGGAAACCCCACCGCGAACCTGATCAAGAAGTCCGATATTCAGAAGGTGCTGGAGCACCCGACGTGGAACGGAGTGGTGGTTGTCGACGAGGCGTACATTGACTTTGCTCCTGAGGGCTCTAGTCTGGCTGAATGGGTTACTGAGTGGCCCAACCTGGTGGTCATGCAAACGCTGAGCAAGGCGTTCGGTTTAGCGGGTATCCGCCTGGGTGTTGCGTTCACGAGTCCTCCGATTGCAACTCTCCTCAACAGCCTCAAGGCCCCGTACAACATCTCTAGCCCTACCAGCGCACTTGCCACGGCGGCTCTCTCACCGACTAACATGGCGGTTATGAAGAAGTACCGGGAGAAGATTATTGTACAGCGGGACCGGTTGGTGCAGGAGCTGCCCAAGATTCCGGGTGTCGGCCGTTTCCTTGGCGGCCAAGAAGCCAATTTCCTCCTGGTCGAGATGCTAGATAAGCCGGCTAGCGAGGGCGGCAAGCCTAGCAACAAGACCGCGCTGGCTGCTTACGAGGCCATGGCCGAGAAGAGGGGAGTGGTGGTGCGGTTCCGTGGCAAGGAACTTGGCTGCGAGGGTTGCCTGCGAATCACCGTAGGAACCGAGCAGGAAGTCACCAAGTTCTTGCAGGAATTGCGGGTGGTCCTGGACGGCATCCTCAAGGGGGTGGACGTCCAGTCCCTGAGGGAGTAGATGAGCCAGAACTAGGCTTATCAGCATTCGTCGCGTCTAGACTTTCATGACCGCTGGTTATTGTACATTTTGAGCACTACTGGATATTTTAGACACATAGATAGATCAGAACAATCAAAGTTCGAGATCCCTTATCATTCGAGGAGGAGAATGTCCTGAGCCTTTCATTGCATGAATCTGGCTGCTTATGGGCCACGAGAGAGAGTTGATCCCCTGGCAGTTGGCGTGCTCTCGGCATCGACCGGTCGGGACACCGACAAATCGCCAGGTGCGCATCGGTTCCGACCGTAGGCAAAGTAAGTAGTACGCCTTATCTCTGTCCAAAGTTTCAAGGAATCCCTGGTTTGGCCATCCATGGAGGGGAAGAAGCAACTAGAGAGAGAGAGAACGAATCACGCTGGAACGGAGATAAACCGGTGCCTTGACATCTTTGCTTTTCTTCGGTTCTGCGCGTATATGTCCATTCTGTCCATCCCCCAGTATCTCACGTGTAATGAAGATGATCGGTCTATTAAGTGCCTGATGGTTTTGGGAATATGCTGGAGAGGTCATTCTGAGGTAGAGAACCCAACCGGGAGATATTTGAGGGATTTGAATCAAGCCATATGGATCGACTGAGTGAAGGCAGTCAAGCAGTGGAGACAGACACTTGGACGTTGCTTTGTTTTAAGATTTGGCGCTCGGACAGTCTCCGTCTGTCTCCTCTTCCAGTCCGTCGCTTCTCTCTTAACCGTTTGTTTGGTGTGGTTCCTGCTTGTTAGCTCCTCCTATGAGGGGAGTAAGAAGTAACCCAAAGGTTCGTGTGTCCACTCCCACCCCCATGTTTAGCTCTGCCCAGCTAATGTACGCTGTCAGTAAGCGGGCCTGAACAGTCGCCCTATCAGGGGCTTATCATTCCCAGCTGCTGCCACGGCTGCTGCTGCTGTCATTGCTTGTCCACAGTACCGACCTTCCCATGGATAAACAATTTCGGTGATTGGCGTTGGTCCCGGCGCATCGACTGATCATCGGCCTATCGGCCGCGGATAACCTCTGGTTTTCCTCTCACTCACACACACACGCTCTCTCTCTATGGGACGATAATCCCCACTTCGCAGGAATCATGACGCTGCGAAGACTGTCCACCCACACGATCGTGCCCGAAATCAGCTGCAAATCATGTGGCAAACTCCCATATCACAAGCAATCTCGTGAGCTGGACGATGGCTTCGTATCCGTCCATCCAGCCATTCCTGTTCATTGGCTGTCTTAGACGCCATGGGTGAGCTAGGCACCAATTACTAGCTTTCTTCCCTGCTCTATCGCTCCTCTCTGGCTGGTCCAACGCTCCAAGTTATCTTGGTTCGTTTTCTCCGGTAATTCCCCTGTCATTTCGCGCACCTGGTAAGTTCCCAAGCCTCCATGGCTACATCCGGCGCCCACCGTTCCCGTCTACGTTATCTTCCGCTGCCCCAGCGAAGTTTATCGAGCGCGCCATGACCCGTAGGCCCATCCCAAGTCTAGCGGATTCTCGCCATGAGAGCTTTAATATATTATGCTTCACCGTTAAGATAAAAGTGCCAGTGGCAGACGTCCCCGTGTGTTATCTCTAAACCCCCTTGTTTGACTCGGCGCTCATCGCGCAATCTGGTCGCAAAATACTTCTTCGCTGACTCGACTTGCTGTCCCAAGTCTTGCTTACTCTTATAATTACTTACAATCGACGTCAGAACGGCGGTGTACTTGGCCCTTTTCTACATTGATACTTCAACGAACAGACTGGTTGGCGAGAGAAGCCTCAAGCCTCCCCCGCAAATTCACAGAGCGCGTCCGAGCTTCTTACTACTATCGTCGTTATTGCATTCTTACAACAACAGGGACACTTACTTCCACTCAAGAAGAAAAGCTCTTGTCACCTTTAGCAGCACTCTTGCCGATCGCCATCTCCACCTTGTCTCGGGTGTCCTTGACATCGACCATCGTAACTTTCCGGTTCCTTTGTTGAGCTGGCTTCCCCACACCAAATCCGGAGTAGGGCACGTGCCTATCAGGTACCGATCCCGGTCTTGAACGATGTGAATGTACGAAAGAACACCACAGCTTCATATTCACTGCTGTTGAAACTACTGGGAAATCTCTATTTGATTTTGGGGATTGCTTCCACTTCACTGGCCCCTCTTCGGAGGTGGCACAGCGGCCATGAATGTACAGTGGATGCTTCAATCGCGTGGGATCTTTTCCGATATCCCTCCTGATCCCCGGACCAAGGAGCAAGATAATCCCACTCTGCTCGTGAGCTGGTGGGCTACGGCTTTTTCGGTAGCCATCATCGTTGTCCGGGTTTGTGGTCGTTATATTCGGACCGAGCGTTTCTTCCGGGAAGATAAGGTGATGATGCTGAGCGTCATCCCGTTATTGATTCGCATGGCATGCGTGCATGTCGTCTTGATCTGGGGTACCAATAATACCAAGACCGTGGGCTTGTCTGCCGAAGACATTCACCATAGAGTCATTGGCAGTAAGTTCGTTCTTGTTGCGCGCATCTTCTATGCTATCTTGTAAGACCTCCCTCTTCTCGCCGGGTGTTTTTGGGACCAGCTCTAACCGTCCTCATGCGCTTAGCATCTGGATAGCCAAGTTCACAGTATGCGAATTCCTCAAGCGAGTGGCAGGCAAGATCTGGCGACGTTCCCTCCGAATCTTCCTCAAATTCATCTACTACTTCCTGGCATCGACATTGTTGGCAGTGATCATTGCTACTCTCGCTGAATGCCAGCCCTTCGACCATTACTGGCAAGTTGTGCCCGACCCAGGTCCACGTTGTCGCCTCGGCTATGCCAACCTGATAACAATGGGATCCTGCGATGTGATGACCGATCTGCTCCTAGTCTCCTTCCCGATTCCTTTCATAGTGATGACTCACATGCCTCTGAAACGCAAAATCTCCCTCGTGATCCTGTTCGCTCTGTCTCTGATTCTAGTTGGAATCACATGCTATCGAGTGCCCTCAGTCATCTGGAACGATGGCTCACAGCAATACCGATCGCTTGTCGCGTCTTTGGAAATCTTAGCCGCCACGGCGGTCTCAAACGCTGTCATCATAGGCTCATTCGTGCGTGATAGAGGTGCCAAAAAGAACAAATTCAAAAAGGCTCAAGGATCAGCCTCCGTCAGCGAAAGCATGGATCACAGCTCCGTGCGACGTCAAACCATCACCCACCACCAGTGGGGAAGTGATTCCGATCTTGCTGCAGATCTGGGTATTCGACTGGACCCGTCATTATGTTCCGCAGACACGAAAACGCCCCGTCCTGCACCTATTGCGATGCCCATCCATCCACTGACAGCCCGTGCGGGAACTTTAGACCCCAACTGGTCCTTCAACCAGCGCTCTGGTGGCAGTGAAGACGACCGAGCCTCCAGCACGGGAAGCTTAGACATCAAAGTCAGTCCGCACGAGTACATTGAAACCAACAAGACACCGCGCAAATCATCCTCGACAGATACCACCAACCTCCGGATCTTCGACGTCGGTAGCCTTCTAAACAATCATCCCCCGACCTCTCCCACCAGCGCCCCAACTTCGCAATATTCACATTATGCCAGCGGGGCAAGCAACGCCTTCAATCAGGATACTGGAGGACCAGCCCGAACACTTCATCTCAATACCACCTCTTCATCCATCCTGTCCCACCAAGTACCTCTCTCCTCCTCGCCCAACTTCTCCCGCCCAGGAGGTCTGCGCAGTAACTCCCATTCGTCTTCTAATCGCCGTCGCGGCTCCAGTGTCCACTTCAGTGATCCTCCGGACTCACCCGTCCCTTCTTACCGCTCTCAGGCTGATGTGTCAGCGCCTATCATGGAAGGGAACGAGGTTGAGCTCCAGGATGTGGGAAGATTGCTGTCCAGACGGTGATTGATGGTCTGTCCTGTTGGGCCCGAGGATGCTCGAAATGATTAACGATGATCACGACGTGCTACGTATTTGGATGAGTATATGACTGTAGATTCTTACCTTTTGGTTTTTCGTCTTGGGTGACCGAGGCAGTACCAAGACCCGGCCATAAAAGGTCTGATATCTGTGTGCCTGTGCATTGATGGCGCTCGCACACGTAAGCTTAGCGTTGGGAATGATGATGATGATGATGATGGATTAGTTATATATGTAGGATATTTGTTGTGGCAATGTAAACTTTAGTCTTAACTTAATACCATCCGATTTAATCTTGTACAGCCATTGTATGAATTGTGTAGATAGATAGATATATTTGTAGTTGGAGAATAGAGGTGAAACCGAAGCACACCTTAACGTCAAAACGGAAGATAAAAGAGACATAGCATAGACATACACACATACACCACCCGTTAAGAAACACACTTTCGAGAAGATTTTTCGCCTTTACGCCATGCTGCCCGATGCCTGTATTCGGTAAATTTTTCTTTTTCTTTTCTTTCTTTTCCTCCCTCCTTTTCCTTCCAACCCAGCCTCTCTTTTCTTGTTCCTGTTCTTTGTTTTCTTTGCGTCTTTGATAGACTCTTCCGAAGGGCACATTGGATCGTTTTGCTGGACCTGGCGTCGGGAAGGAGATGAGACTTGTACCTCCGGCTCAGCAATAAGCATATCGCCATTAACGGAGACAACTCATTTCTCTCATCCCAGGACCCCCAAAAAAAGCAACCCAGCGATTATATAACCCACCGATAACTGGCATACCGACCAGCCGTCTCACTTCTCCGAATAATCTTCACGACCTGACCTCTGCGCAGACCCAAGTATCTGGCAACAGGATCAGACACCTGTATACGAGGCAACTGCGACTCCTTCAGACGGTAGCGTTCCAACAAACGAGCCTTCTCATCGGGGCTAAGCAGGACGTGTTTCGGGACCAGTTCGTGGCGGGTGATGTTGACCAGCAGATCCTGCTCCTGGAAATGCTCGCAGATGCGGCCGGGCATGCTGCTCAGCAGGCGCACAGCGGACGGCGAGATGGGAGTCTGGGTGATGAACACGCCGGTGTGGAAGTTGTTCTCGTCGACGAAGTGGTTGAAGGTACGCACTTGCTTGGTGCCGACACCGGTCGAGTCCGGGCAGAATTCAACGTAGATGGTACCGCAGTCGGGCTGGGGGTTCGGGTTGGATTTGCTGGGCAGGGGGGTGTATTTCGCTTGCATGGCTTCCGTGGGCCGGGCGCTGATTTTCATCTTGTTGCGGCTGTTTGATGGGATTCTGAGTTAGATGGGAGTTGACTGGGGGGGATTGAATGGCATGGAAGGCGCGCATACTCGGGGTATCCTAGAGGGTCGGAATATTTTTGCTTGAACTCGTGGAGAGGCATTTGGACTTCATCTTCGGTCACCTCGTAGCCCTGTGGATTTGTGAACCTTGATTAGTGGGATGTTCGCGGAGTGATTATTGGAAGCTTCGCCTGAAACTGCGGAAAATCCTTACACGATCCAGCAGCATCTCAAAGACTGTCCGCCATGTGCGCCAGAGTCTGGTCATCTCGCGGTCGGCGTCCACGGAGCCTGCAGAGTAGTCCTCGTCCATGGCTGAGGGGATTAGCACACCGCGGCGCGAAACTTGAAAATGGAAGAAATTAAGTGTAAAGGTCAAAGAAGAGCGAGAATCGGGCAGATAAACCGATCAAGCCCGGAGAACGCGGAGCAGAAAGCTGTCTAGGCTGGAGGGGAGAGAGGCGATGATGGAAGCAAAATGCGGTTCTCGAAAAATCGGCGGGCCAGCGCTAAAAGCGCCAAACGGTAAGCGCCGCCTTTTGGTCCAGCAAAGGCCAGACCAAGAAAAAGAGTAACGACTTTCTCCTTCTCCAGCGTTCTCTTTCCATTTTCCCCTCCTCAACCCCCTCCTCCTCTTCCCTCTCCCCCTTCTGTCCGCTCGTTGGAGCTTTCTTTTCCCGGTTGATTTCGGTCAATCGCGCTCTTTTTGTCGAGTGTTGTCTTATTATTGCTTCTCTCCACCTCTTAACATGGCCGCTGACGCCAAATCCGCTCCTGCCACGGAGCACAAGGTGAAGCCTACTAAGCCCAACGAGGAGGCCTTCAAGGCCGATCTCGCCCAGGCTGAGAAGGAGCATGCCGCTGTTCAGGCCAAATTGGTATGTAAGGATTGTTTTCTCGTTCAATTGGCATCGTGCAATCGCATTTCCTTGCCTTGGATGCGGTGATTCACTACCGCTCCGTGGCCTTTTCTCTGCCCAACTGCCCATTGGAACTGCCTTACGCTACACTGCATCTATTGGTGTCCCGCCTTTTTACCCAATCGCAAGACGAATGCAACCTACCATCTACCGGTGATCATAGAAGACTAACTCTATCAAAGACCGAAATCAAGGCCAAGATCGAGACCGCCAAGCCCAACAACCAGGACTCGCCCGCCGCGAAGAAGCAGCAGGAACTCCGCGCTGAGCTGTCTTCGATCCGTCAGAAGCAGCAGGGATTCAAGGCTTCTCGGTCCAGCACCCAGGAGAAGATCAATGCCCTCGATGCTACCCTCAAGGCTCGCATTTCCGAACAGAACAACTCTCGTACGCGCATGTCCTTCAAGAATGTCGAGGAACTCGACCGCGAAATTGCCCGCCTCGAGAAGCAGGTCGACTCCGGCACCCTTCGCTTGGTCGATGAGCGCAAGATTCTGTCCGACGTCTCCAACTTGCGCAAGCAGCGCAAGAACTTCGCCGGTTTGGAGGAGGCCCAGAAGGTCATCAACGACCTCAAGACCCAGATCGCTTCCCTGAAGAAGACCCTCGACAACCCCGAGGCCAAGGCTCTTAGCGACAAGTACTCCGAGATCCAGAAGGAGCTCGATGCGATCAAGGCGGAGCAGGACAGTGCCTTCAAGAACCTCAACGCTCTGAGGGACGAGCGCACCAAGCTCCACGGCGAGCAGCAGAAGAAGTGGACCGCCATCCGCGAAATCAAGGACAACTACTACAAGGCTCGCAAGGCCTACAAGGAGTACGAGGACGAGGCCTGGAGAGTCCGCCGTGAGAAGCAGAAGGCCCAGCGCGATGCTTTCGAGCGCGAGAAGCGCAAGAAGATCGCCGACAAGAAGCTGGAGGAGGCCTCTCGCCTTGCTTACACCGACGAGATCCTCACTGCTCAGGGTCTGATCCGCCACTTCAACCCCTCCTACGACTTCGTTTCTCTGGGTCTGGATGAGAAGAAGGACGAGAGCTCCAGCTTCCGTGCCGACGTCGGTCGTACTGTGGACGACTCCAACCTCAAGGGTATGAAGGTTCTCAAGAAGGAGGACCGCGAGGAGGACTACTTCGTTGGCACTGGCGGCAAGAAGGGTAAGAAGGGCAAGAAGGGCGCCAACGGCAGCCCCGCCCCTGGCACCCCGACTGAGACCAAGTTCAACCTCAACGTTGGTGTGATCGAGGACTTCGCCAAGGTCAAGATCGACCCTCCCATGAACCAGTCGGACGTTTCTGCTGTGATCGAGAAGCTTGCCGCCAAGATCACCGAGTGGAAGAAGAACCAGGCCTCCAAGACCGAAGAGGTGAGTTAAAAGCCTTCTCTTGATTGAGATTTATTGCTAACGCCCTATCCAGAACATCAAGAAGGCCCAGGAGGAGATTGACCGCCTCGAGGCGGAAGAGACCGCCGTCAACGGTGCCACTGACGCCGCCAAGAAGCCCGCTATCAAGAACAGCGGTGTGAACGGCGAGGTTTCCGCTGAAGCCGAGCTGAAGCAGGAGAAGGACGCTGCTGCCGACGTGTCGGAAGAGCTCCAGAAGGCCAGCCTCGAGGAGTCCGCCTAAACCAACCGCCAAGCATAGAGTGTTGCATCGCATTGCATCTGCATATTGCATCAGCCATGCTCATTGTTAGATTTGCAAAAGCTCGAGACAAGCATTTGACACATTTACACCCTGCGTGATCCGTTGGTTTCTCTATATGCATCCAGGAGTCGTGTACCCCGACCCCTACCCATCCATCCCTACTACGCCGCTTTCCTCTACCGAGATGCCCCCTTTTGTCTTACGAAAACAGAAACCAATATGCACGGGTATTGGTTTCTTGCGTGATCACCGTGCTACCAGCCTCGGTTGGTCTACGGACCAAGCTCGGCTGGGTTCCTTTTCCTTCTGTGTAATTGACTTTTGACCCTACCTTTACCTACTACCTATGCTTTCTTATTTCATGTCTTACCATATTCTCCTCTCTTATCTTTCCCAGTCCCGAGACTGGCGACAGCCAGGAGCATTCAGTCAGCGATTTGTTTAGCAGCGTGTCGTGTAAGTAACGAATGAGCGATTGGAAAAGCAAGTTGTACGGATTGAATGTAGGACGTTGAGCGATCTTATTACAGTGATGTTTATGTGTAGACAATGCCATACCAGAATCTAATTGTAGACTGTCTACATCGTGTCCTTTAGCGGCCTATCACTAATCTTATACAAACATGCCATCGCACCAAGATCCTTTATGCTATTGACACTGATCATTAGCAAGATTACCATCTCATCAAACATACACTATATCCAAAGACAGTGAAAATCCCAGCCAACAGACAAGAATAACAGTCATTAACAAAAATACCACAATTAATATTACTTTTATCACTACTATCCTCATCAATACCCTCCCTGCCCACCCTGCTCTTTCTCCTGACTACTACTACTACTACTTCCCCCCTGCTCTCCCCCACCCTCCTGCTGCCCACTCTGTCCCTGCTGCCCACTCTGACTCCCCCCTCCCTGACCCGTCGTACTCCCCGCCCCATCCGCCGCCGTCGTCGTAGTAGAAGCAGCCGAAGCCCCATACCCCACCGCTGTAGACGACGCCGTCGTCGCACTCGCCGACGAAGAACTATTACTACTCGAACTCGTCTGATAGACCTTAAAGCTCTTAAACTCCCAATAAGCATTCGTAAAGTTGGCCCCATTCTCCGCGGCCCATTTCGTGCACGTCGACGGACAATCATACAGATCGGTGTAGTAGGTGCTCGCGCCCGCAAGATCACCACAGATATCGATATTGACGATAATACTCTGGTTCTTGAAATGCGACGAGATGTCGCAGTTCGTGTTGGGGAAGTCGGCGAGTGCTTCGCCCCAGGTGGATGGGTCGGGCGTGCTGCTCGAGTTGGAGATGTCGCTGGGGATGGAGTCGCGGGTGAACATCCATACGCGGATGCCGGCCGGGCGGAGTTCCATGGCGTAGATCTGGTGGATATATTAGAT